AGACGGAAGACTAGGATACTCGTTTCCATGGAATTATTGGACTTTGCCCTACAAGGTGGAGAGTTAGCGCCAGTTGTTTCAGACGACTTCTGGAGAGCTAGTCAGTTCTTATGGAAGAGTGGGATGTTTGCTTGTCCGAACGATTACAGCCCGATGTGCGTGCAAGGATAATAGGATGTAAGACCCAAGTGGAACGATTTGAAGTTTTCTTGATTTTCATCTTCGAGAGCGGCTTTCTTCCCACACCGATAATCTATCTAAGATTCTTCAGGGTACTAAGATGGCTGCTGCCCGCGGAAAAAGCCTGGCAAACCTAACTAAAGGAGACTCACAAAAATGCGCACTGATCAGAGCTTCGACCATTTCTATGCTAATGTTACCCATCAGAGTGAAGGCGTTGTTGGCGAACCAATACTTCCAAGAAAGAGGCGCACTCCGGCCAGACTGGAGGTTGGTGCTAGTGCGCAAAAAACAGTGCTAAATATCACTTTAGAATGGTCTATTACGAGGCTATTATCTTATCATTAGTGCTATCGACCTGCTTTTTTAACCAGGAAAGCTTCAGCTCCTACGCCCAGATGGAGACCCTCTTGGTTAAAGCTGCTAATGATGACGACTAGGAGGCAGAGTTAAAGTTTCTTGAAGAATTATGCAGCGAAGATGTTGATACTGGGGCGCTATATAGCTACCTGGACAACTAAGTATCTTGGAGGTTATGTTAAAGGAGAAAGTATCATGTTCTGACGAGATTCTGTTGGCGATGTCAAAGTTTCCAGAACCAAAACATGAGCTAATTCGGGAAATCCAAAATATCTGTAGGCTGCTTGCCGTAAATCCTGCCACCTGCACTGCTGGCGAGCGTTCATTTTAATCTGCAGTGTGTCTCAAGATGTGGCATCAATCCAGGATGGGTGATGAAAGGTTTAGCAACCTAGCAGTGTTAGATTGGCTACAAGCAGGAATGGGTGATAAACTGCTAGCAACCCAGCAGGGTTAGAATGACCTCAAGCAGGAAACAGACATTGTCTCTATAGCTGAAGTCGTACAGGAGTTTGTCTGGGAGCAGCTTCAAAACCTAGCAAGGATACGGAGGCTGTATTGGATAGTATAACAAGTGAAGACGTCTATGTTATATCTATTCAGGTTGTAGGTAAGATGGGGTGCAAATGCAAGATGAATGACGAACACTTTCTCAGCGTTTGTTTGTATTGGCCAGATTTTTTAGCCCTACCACTTTAAAATGGTCTCC